GGGCTCTGGTCTTGTCCTCAGCAGCCCTATCTCTCCTCTGGTTTCCTTTGACTATAAGGAGACTGGGGGTGGAAGGGTATAAAAGGATAAGGAAGGCTGCTGCCAAGTATTTGTGGAAACCAGGGGCGGACGAGGAGGAAGGCTATATCACAAAAGTTGCGTGGGATATAGTTACTCAGACTAGACAAGAGGGGGGATTGAGAGTGCTTGACCCACTTCAGCAAAATACGACATTATTGGCTAAATGGTCGGTGAAAGGAATGCTTGAGAACAACTCGAAATTATGGATCCAACTTGCTGAGTATGTGCTCAGTCAGGAATGGAACCTATCTCACCCTCAACATGTGTGGGTGTGTATGTTGATTCCCTCTTTTGCCAATAGTAGATTGAAATCCCAAGTTTGGCAGGGTATCCTATCTGCCTGGAAAAAATTGGCTCCCCGTTCGCCCAAGGAGCCGATTTCGAAACGGGAAGTTGCTAATCAGATCTTGTTCGAGAATCCTTGTATTATGCAATCTAATCAAGAATGGTTCTCTGCGAAGAAGGAGGGAGGCGCCTTTGGAAGGTCGTGGATTGAGAGGGGAGTCCTGCAGGTTAAACACATCTGATATGGGGCAAAGGACCAGTGGATTTCGGAATTAGATTTGAAAAAGAAGCTCCCAAGGCTTTGCAATGTATACCAGCATCTTCAACAATTAATGGTAGCCATCCCTAAGACATGGACTAGTTTATTGAAGTCAGGGACGGAACAGGGGATGAATACATGGGTGTTGGCAGACAACATTCCAGGGAGATTCTGGAAGGTGATGGGCCCAGACCTGCAGACAGGGATAAGGGTGGAGGAATGAAGTTTGCCGCTCTTACCTCAGGATTCAAAGTCCACGCAGCCGTTGAGGAGGGTGGGGGAGTCATGCATACCCACAACCATTCAATTGCAGGAAGCAAGAGTAATGGTATCGTCAGATGGTAAGGGTGCTAGCTTCCTGGGTCCAGCAACGACATTTCATGTGGAGCCAATGGCTTTGGCATGGAAAATCAAAAACAGAACAGGACGAGACTTGAGTACTATCCCTCTGGTAGCCTATAAGCCTAAAGTGGGCATGAGGCAACTTAGGGAGGGGTCAGCACAGAAGCCGTCTCAGACGGCTGTAAGACGTCAAGAGAAAGTTACAAACGGGCAGCACAGTCATCAAGATTGGACAGCCCTCTGGAGAKCTCTGATGTGTTTATCTTCGCAGAAGAATGCGAGTTTGCTCTGGCTGCAGTCCTTCCTAGTAGTGGCCACAACAGTGTGGCTGAACCAGAGGGGACTGGACATGGATCTGACTTGCAGCAGGTGCCACTGGGGGTGGGAGAATAATGTTCATTTGTGGCTCTGTTGCCCTTTTGCTGATGAAGTTTAAATGTGGTGGGTGGAGCTATGGAAGAAAGAAGTCTCTTCTTCCTAGGACTGGTCTGATGCCTGGATCCTCTATGGGATCCTGCCCCAGCAGGATGAAAGGTATGAAAAAGGATGGGGCTACATTGGCATGGTATGCAGGGGGATTATTTTGCAGGAGATTTGGCGAGCTAGGAACGCGCAGGTATTCAGGAATGAAAAGGTGGTGGTCCAGAAGCAGCAACACAGAATAAAAGGGAATCTCAGGAGGGCAATATTGGTTGATTGGCAAGGCTGCCACAGAAGCAAGAGAAAAGGCCTTAATTGGTTTGAGTGTACATGGGCGAAGGAGAAAAGAATGGTATCTGTTTTAGCAGACAAGAAGCTTTTGTTTGCTCAGTGGTTGAAGCTGCCTTAGGCAGGGATTCACCGGGCTAGTGGGATGTGGGTCTGCGCCGCTCTTACTCTCCGTGTAAAAGTTGAGGTCTTGGAAAAAGTTAAGAATTGCTTGGTATTCTGCATTTCATAGACTTCATTAGGAGATCCTGATATTCCTCTGGGTTTACATTGCTTTTTTCTGAGCTTGAAGGAGTTATTGGGAGGAACGATAGTCAGTTGACTGAAGAAGGGGATGTTGGACCCGGTTTTCCAGCCTAGCCGAAGCTGGGTAATGGCCCGAGTATTTGTTTCCGGGCGGATTGTGAGGTTGTCCGGCCTCTGTTCAACTTATTAATAAAATTTCAAGTTTCCTCAAAAAAAAAAAAAAAAAAAAAAAAGGGAAAAGAGAAAAGAAATAACGGGAACAGATACGAAATCCAGCCCACTCAACTAAAGCATCCGCTCATGTTGCTGTGACGGCATGGCCACACCACTCTCGAAATGTGCAAAATGAGAACGGACTTCCTCCTAGAACAAAGCCAGATGCACCCGCCACATTTTTGCGACTTCGAGAGTGGTGTGGCTAGGCCCTTAGTCAACAACAACACAAACTCGGATTCTCATCATGTCATGAAGCTCAACTCCTGCGGAGGACAGACAACACCGCACGAGGCGACCGCATGGTCCTCGAGGTGGGTTCCAGCGGGCGTGGGCGTCTGTTCTGTGAGTGTGTGTGTGCGTGCGCGCGTGTATGGTTGTGTGGGTGTGTACGTGTGCGTGTTTGCGTTCGTGCTGGTGCGGGTTTGTGTATCTGCGGCCCTGCGGGTTCCCACTGACCAAACGCGACGCGCTGTGCCCTCGACCAACGACTCTTCTCCGCGAGGCGCGGTTTGATTGATTGCCGTCCTCCAGATTGTGAACACTTAAGTTTGTGCGTGCGTCTGTGTGTGCGTGTGCGTGTGCGTCCGTGTCTGTGTGTGTGTGGGTGGGTGGGTGTGTGGGTGTGTGGGTGTGTGTGCGTGTGTGTGTGTGTGTGTGTGTGTGTGTGTGTGGGTGTGTGTGTGCGAGCGTCCGTGTGTGTGTGGCTGTGGGTGTGCCTGTGTGCGGGTTTCCACTGCGGGTGCGAGTAGACGCGACGCGTTTTTTCCCCCATATCCACGACTCTCTATATACACGACTCTTCTTCGAAACTCCGATTTCAATCTCCGCCTGGCTTGATTGCCATCCTCCCAGTTGTCGTTCCTGCTCGCGGGAACGTCAAACACATACGCTCTTGCAGATTGCTAATTCGCAGCAGTAAGTATCAAACGGCTATTAATGTCCCATTCCGTTTGAAAATGGCGCAACCGTATGCGCTCATCCTGTGGGGCCAGCCGTGCGCTGTTATCTTTTACTTGTGTTGATGAGCCGATAGACTCGGAGTCAGCCCCCTCAGCGACCGTACCCTCATACCTCATACTCGACTCGTGCCGGGGCACTGTGGATGCCGATCGCTATGGCGGTTTCTTCATCCACACCTCCGAGGCGATCTGACACGACCGAGGTTCGAACTCGAGTGCGAAGCAAGTTGATGAGCCTGTCAGCCGTTGTCATGTTGTGGCTTTTGCGTCCAGGCCTCGAGAACGCTCTACACGTGGCGGAGGCGGCGGCGGCGTTGGGAGGAACAGGTACGAGAAGACTTCAGGTCGAGTCATCGTCCGGAGCCGCTCCAACCACAGCCGTTGAGTGCACGAGCCCACCGTCGTGTAGTGGAGACGAGGAAGGAGGGCAAACGGAGGGGAGTCTGAAGCTGGTTAATGACTCGTCAAGTCCGTAGTTCCAAACGAATGTGGTGGTGGTAAATTACTCATCTCCATCTCCACCAGATTATCATCCCCTTGACGTTGCAGGGTGCGAGACCAGGGTTCGAAACATGGTCTTCGTACCCGATGTCAGTGTCTTCTACTTTACCCTCCAGATCGTCTGCGGGGATTCGTACCGCGACACCGTGATCGCCAAAGCAGATCTGATGCTATTCAAGAGCGGAGAAAAGACACTTGCCGACACAGTCACGATAGCCAGCTTCCCGTGCATGTCCAATGGTCCCGCAGAGGCGATGTCCCCGCCCTCATCCTCCTCGCCGGCTCCCGTTTCTTGGGCACCTGCGTCCGAACTGGCATCCGTCGTGGTATCAGTCTCGCTACCGCCTTCGAAGCCGGAGACTACGTCCCCATCCTCAACCTCCACATCTGCTCCCGCTTCTTTGGCAAACCCCTCAGCACGGGAGTCCAAAATGGACCTGGCACCATTACGAGGGCGTGGGGCTATTTAACTCCTTCCGTCCCCGTGGTCAGTTGTTCCTCCCGTGTCCGAGCAAGCAGGCTCGGTGGCAGCAGAAGCAGAGGTGACGGCAGCAGCAGCGGAAGCAGAGGGCTCGGTCCGCTCGGGCGCACGAGAAGAACAGAACACGGACACAGAAGAATCAGGGCTAGAGGCAGCAGCGCCCCTGATTGGGATGCAATACGGGTACTGGGAAACAGAGTCATGGTCCGAAGCGGAAATGGAGCTGTGGGCAGCTGAGGTGGCCGGGTTGTCCGAAGCGGAAATGGAGCTGTGGGCAGCTGAGGTGGCCCGGGGGGGGTTCTCGCCATCATTGGGTACACTGACTCCAGCCCCGGCATCCACCGAACCCGCAGTCGCTTCGGCACCGATCTCCGGTCAGGCCCGTCCTCCGGGTGTCCTCTTGTCAACCAACGGAGGAGTGATTTATGCCCCTTGTTTGCAAGTCGTCAGCGGCATGGAGCTTTCGAACCAGGGATCGAATCTTCTCGTCACTTCGCATGAAGCAAGCATGGGCAATTCCTCGACGATGATCACGTTCTTGTCGACTACTTCGGGCCATCAAGAGCCAGTGCAAGTAGTGAGTGCTAGAACGGCTGGAAGTTTGGCATTCAATCCGACGGAGAAGACGAAGCTATACCTTGCAGATGTGGCAGAGCCTCCTCGACTTCTGGCTGCTGAGGTTCCAGATACTGAGACATGTCTGAATACCTCAACGAGGGTAGAGACCCTTCACACCTTCGAAGAGGATCATGGAAGATATCCGTACGTGAAAGCCTTGTCCTTCGGACGACAGAGCTTTTCAGGTGACGGCAGCTGTCTGTACTTCGTAGACCCCTCGCTCAGCCAAGTATGGGGTTTCAAGCCATCATCGAGTACGTTTACCCTTGTTTGGGGATGGATGCATAACGACTCGGCACCGGAACGTACTATCGAGCCGCACGTCTTGGGGCCTGCCTCAGGTCTGCTGGACATCGCGGCAACGTATGATGGATGCAATCTCTTCTGCATCAGCACTCCTCTATCGGATTCTGAGGTCAGCGGTTGGAGCAGTTCGAACTCGAGTACCGTTTACTGGATAACGGTAGACTCTCCATGTGCCGCCAGTTGGAGTGTGAAGGCAGTCGCCAAAGCTGATGGCTTTACATTACACAGCGTGGCACTGCACTATTTCAAGGGCAAGTTATTTCTGTACATCGGATCGAATGATGGTAGGGTGTTTGGATTGGAAGTTGACGAGGGGAGACTTCACGCGTGCGAGTGGTCACCTGACTCACCTGACCCTTGGCTTGAGCTTGCTTGGGCTTTCCTTTGGAAAGTTATCACTGTTATTCTCACCTCGGTTGTGCTCTATTTCCTGGAGAAATTTGTTGCTAAGACATCGGGTGCAAACAGCCGAATAGGTTCTCGGGTGGGGTGTCATCTACCTTTTTTCTCCGGAAAGTGTCCTGGCACCAGAACTGCTTACCAGAAAAAGGCAACCACCTAAGGCGCTGCCGGAGCACCATCCCGATCTTGTACTGCGTGCGATTCAACATGCCCTAAATGCGAGATGCGTGTCGAGCCCCATCAAAATATGATAAGCAGAGAGCAAGCACAGGCCGCCTTGAGAAGGTTGCTGATGACATTGCCTGCTTTCTCAAAGCCCTATAACAAGGTGCCACGCGGCTCTTTCTCTCTCTCTCTCTCTCTCTCTCTCTCTCTCTCTCTCTCTCTCTCTCTCTCTCTCTCTCGGCAACTATCCGATCTTGTACTGCTGCGATTCCTAAAATTCCTAAATGCGAGTGAAGCCTCATCAGGATGCAGTACATGACAAGGAGATGGTAAGCAGAGATCAAGCCCTGGCCACTTGGAGAGGGTTTGGCAACGAGCGTGCCTGCCTGCTCAAAGCCCTGCCTGCCTGTCGCGCTAAAAAAATTCCGCCTTCACAGAATGGAGAGTGTCTGGAACGAATAGGATAACGCTTTTTTTTTTGTTTTTTTTTTTTCTGGTGAGGGGAGGGGGGTGGTGGTGGTGGTGGAAGATTGAGAATTGAATTGATATTCGGAAACGGAAAGAGGCCGGGGACCTCACAATTCAACTCGGAGTTATCCTGGGGCCACTACCCAGTTTAGGCTATGCTGAAAACCGGGTTCAGCATCCCATCCGTCTCATGAAGCAACCTTTCAAAAGTTTTGCTGCCAATAGGTCGCTGCCTCTTGTGCAGGGCTTGCACCTTGATGTAGTTCTAGTATTCACTACTCCCGACCGGGTATGCCTGTTCAGTCTCCCAGAATAGCAATAATCAAGAGATGTCACAGCAGCAAATCAATAAAGGAACAACAAACTCTCCCTCAGAGTCTGAAAGCTATAAGACATAAACAACTACTGGACGCAAGAGACAAGAACAAGAAAGAAGAAAGAAGAAACAAGAAACAAGAAACAAGAAACAAGAAAGAAGGAAAAGAAAGAGGGAAGACAGGAGAGGGAGGGGGAAGAAGAACTAGCAGACCCATTAGTAAACAATCTATAAGCTATGGTTGGCGCAGCCACCCCACCCTACTCTGTCTTTTATCTGGGTCTAGACTTGCCAAATTTTGTCATTCAGTGAATCAGTGCAAATAGGTGACCAAAGAAAGATAGAACAGAAATGTGATAAAAAATCCCTGTACCAAAATTAAAAGAACTGCCCCAAACAATGTTACAGGATGAAGATTCAAAGGCGACTTTTAAGATCCCACCCAGTTCATACTATATGCGTGGTTGTTCAGTCTGACACTCACTATGTTTGATCTATTGGGGACTGGTAATACTATGTGCATCTGCGGTTGGGACATTTATTGTGCTAAGAGGCCCCCAGATGTCATGATTTAGGTGCTGACAGATTGTGTGCTTCAAAGGAAACTTTAAGACAATACCGCAGACTTCCTAGCGAGTTTCATCGCCGCCCTTCTCGTTGCTGGCTCCCTGATTCAATCACACTGTACCAATGAAAATTGGTTGAGGATGGAGCTGGTGGTTCGCATGTTTAAATTCACCCTTTAAAAGTTTTTGTCATATTCTGCACTGAGTCCCAGATGTCAACACTGAAGCCCTCTTCCGGGCGGGGTGAGGCCCGCATAGCTTTGCAGTAACTAGCTACACCTCTTTCCTTACATGCATGAAATGAATAAGGCATTCTATTATTGAGACATTACATTGTTGTTGTGCAGGCAGTGATCATTGATGGGGGTTAACAGGTTTCGTAATCATCATAAATTTTCTGTAAGTTGGGTCTCGTCGATGTCTCGTCGGATAGACTGAGGACCAGGAGAAACCTTGTGTAGGGTCGTAATTGGAGAAGTCGCCATAATTCAACCCATTGCAAGATGCACTGATTGCCTCGGAGTCCGCCGAAGTTCCCCAAATAGCAAAGATGCTGTCCCCAGGAATGCTGGCGGCTGGCCTCAGTTGGGGTCTAAATGCTGGACCCTGCCTGCCTTGGAACCACAGAAAGGCAACAACTGTGGCTCCTGCTTCTCCCCAGGCAGGGACCAGCAGTTAGGCCCGTACTGTGGTCCCAGGGATTCAAAGAAGGGCCCAACACTTAGGCGGCTTAGGCCCCCACTTTGGCCCCGGGGCAGTGCCTGCAGGAGAGGGGGCCGTAGATCCAGCACTTAGACCCTCACTGCTGGGCCCTGCCTGCAACAGCTTTTATGGTCCTCTCACCTGCAAGTCCGTTTTCCATTAGGTTCTGTGTGCTTTTAAACCTTTTTTTTTTTTGAGGGAAGTACGTTTATGTCACACGGGAGTTTGTAATGCGTAGAAAGTCCCAAAAAAAATAAATAAAAAGAATAATAATGGGTAGAAAAAACAGGCAGTGTACGACTGTCGCCCATCACGGCCATGGCCAGACGCCGGCGTGGCCTAGACACGGTGGTCGTGGCCCAGCCGCGGGTGTGCCCTAGACGTCGCAGCCATGGCCACAAGGCCATCTCGGCCGTGAAAAAAAAAAAAAAAAAAAAAAAAAAAAAAAAAAGTGACGACGAAAAAAAAATAAGTCCATCCGGGGGCCTCCGTAGTGCTGGTAACCCTGTATATATATATATCGTCACAAACATAACTGCATATATATATATATATCGTCACAAACAGAACTGCCCGGTAAACCGTAGGCAGAGAGAGAGAAGAAGACAACAAACGAGGGGCTGTGACAAACTGTTTCGTCGGAGTTTCACCGACTCATCAGGAGGCTGAACCCTCAACAGTCTGCAGAATCCCCTCACTGATTACACTGTAAATGATAATCTACCTTAACCAAAATCAAAGTAGACTAT